AGTCGCGTTCAGTCATGCCCAGTGACCGTTGGCAGTGCACAGCAGCACGCCAACAGCCGTCCCTAGTGCACGTGCGGTGCCAGCTGCACCCGCCAGTGCACAGTCCATGTCAGCTATGCACGGGCCGGCGCCAGCAGCGCCCGGCAGCGCCCAGTCCGTGCCCGATGCGTGCATACGATCATGCCAATAGTCGAGTTAGTTGCCGACCGATCGGTCCGAGCAGACCGGCGGTCTGGCCAGATTAATTTATAGCAGTTTAGATCGGTCCTTTCATATTTTATTATATTAATTCCCGGTTCATGATTTCAGTCCCGTTTTTAGTTAAAATTCCAAGTCCAGTTCAGTCCAATAAATTCATGTCAGTTCAGTTTCGAGTTTATTCAATTCCGGTTAGACCGGATTAGTCCAGATATCATGTTTAAGTCCAGTAGAGCATCTTAACATATTAATCAATTATTTCATCAGTCTGAGCATAGTATTTAGTAATTGTTTATATTATTTTCAGTTTGTTCAGGATCCAGATATCAGCACTTACATTTTCAAATCAGCAGTTCAGGTGGGAACTCAGACTGGGTATTACATTGGTTATAATTGCTCTATCATGTTTTAAGGTATGTATTTCAGTTATTCCACTTTGGGTGGAGGCGCAGTAGCCTTAATTGCCCATCCAGAGTTCTGGTGGAGGCGCAGTAGCCTTAATTGCCCATCAAAGTGTGCACATGGCCAATTCAGTACAGACATCGTGTCTGGAGTTTACAGATTACAGTTTACTTATATATACCTGCAGTCATGATATTGATATTATTATTAATGTTTACTTTAGTATGAGTTTCTGCGGAGTACAGTGTTTTTAGTACTCACGCTCCCACTATTATCATGTTTTTCAGGTCATGAAGTCGGGACGGAGGAGTGAGATGACGGAGCTGTTTGGGACATGGCTAGTAGCCATTGTACGTTATTGTACAGTTATGTTTTGCCACGCATAACTTCCGCTGTCACTTTACGATATTTCAACTAGCATGTCCGTTTTTATTTTTAAATTGATTTATCAGACAGATTTTCTTTATAAAGTATTACATGCTAGTTGATCTAAAATA